CCCTAGCTGATAAACTTTCAACTGGATCATATCACGATTAAGGAGAAACCTAAAATTCAGAAACCAAAAAACACCTTTAAGTAAATTCTAGTTTGGATGTACTAGCTTACAATTCCTTGACTTTTTTCTGTCTAACAAGTGTTGCTGAAAAATGAGTGTCTATTAAATTGAACACAGTATTATCAATAGTCCTCAGGCCTTAATGTGCATACGGACTGGGAGGGTATATTAAAATACATATTCCTAGGCCCCCTCTTCAGAGCTTTCCATGCCACTGGGGCCTGGGAACATGCATTTTAACATGAGAAACTGAAGGGGACTTAGATTTTTATATAGACATTGGTAACTTTTCAGGGGCTGATTTATGCATTAGGAACTTAAAAAATAGGCCATTTGACCTACTGATTCAATTCTAGGAATTTTCCTCCAGATGTCCACCAAGATTTATTTATAAGAATGTTTTTACGTTTATAATAGCAGAACACTAGAGGCAATAAAAATGTACATAAAAAAGAATGGATAAATTAAGACATATCCATGCAATGGAAACACAGCCATTAAAAATAAAAATTTCAAAAGATCATTTAGTGACTTGGAAAAATGTTTACAACATAATGTTAAGTGGGGTGAAATCATTCAGTGACTTGGAAAAATATTTATAACATATATAAAATTTAAAAAGAGGCATATAAAATAGCATTTCAATAATGTTCAAAAGAAGAAAAGAATATATATGAAAAAACTGACAAGAAATACATCAACATGTTAATATTGAATTGTTGCTTGGTTGTTGGATTACTGGAGATGTTGGTCTCTTCTTGATACTTTTCTATATTTTCCAGATTTTGTATAGTGACTAGTTATGGCTCTTTTTATTTGAAAAACAGTGCTAATTTTTTTTTTAAAGTAAAGAAAAAGAATTTAATTCATGAGGAATGAAAAGAGAGGGAAGAGAGATCTCTTAGGAGCCTGGTCCAGCCATGGCCTTACTGCTGCAAGAGGACTTGGAAGACAGACTGAGTCTGGTGCTGGGGTGAATTTTAAGCTACATTCTCTTTTGCAAAGTACCTTGGTATAGTCAATGCCCAGGAATTTGGGTCAACGAGAAAATCCTTTTCACTAGATACTACTTTCTTGCTACATTTGAAGATAACAGACTATAGGAACAGGGACGTGGAAGGGAATTCAGTTTGAACATCTTTACTACTCTTGAGTTGATCTCATGCTTGTTGCCTCTGTGTATAATCCCTGTGGCCTCACCCCAGAACACCACGCAGACTGACTGCACTCTGCTTAGGGGCTTCTGGACAGATGATTGGCTTCATTCCAGCTTGGGAGACTCCATCTAGGGCCAGAGCTTCCATGGAGCTTCCAGCCTCCTTCCATGGAGGCTTTCAAAGCCTCCTCTGGCCAATGCACTGGGAGCCCCATTGAATGCCAGGAAGCATCTTTTTTTGGCAGACAGATGGCTCAATTCTACTTTCTCTCATGGATCTCAGTGAATCCCAGGTCAAACCTGAGTAAGAGTAGAAGCTTCTTAGTTAGGCCCCTGGCCTAGGGGGCCTAACCTTTCCAAATGTCCTTGAAATTTTTACACCACATGCTTTGGCTAGTTAGGAAATGATGCTAAGGATTTCAGGTGCAAGTCAATTTAGAAAGACCAATAAATAAATAAATGAATAAAATGATACTTGCAGTATTATTAGCAATATCAAAATTCAAACACCAATACTGATCATAAAGACAGTAATTGTTTTCATCAACCTAACTTGCCACATATTTTCCTAAGTTGTCCAAACCATTTCACATATATTACCTTACTTATTCTGACAGAACCTCAGCTTTACACTTTTAAAAATACCATTTCGGAGGTGGGAGGAAGCTATAAAGTTCTGATGAAAACCAGAGGCTTGAGTTAAAAACAAAACCCTGAAGTCTTCAGTGTGGTGTTTTCCAACTGCGTTCTTGACAAGAAGTCAGGGGATTTCAGCACGAGAAAGCATGAAGCCCCATTACCATGAATTCTCAGCTTGGGTGACTGTGACGTGGCCTGATTGCAAAATCTTCCAAAGGGAGTAACAGAACATTCATAATGCTGACCCAGGGCAAGAGGGGGGCCTGTACTTCTATGCCCTGCAAAGTATAATACTTTTAACCTGGGGTTAAAAATAATCAACTTGTCTAAGCACTGCCTGCATCAGCCAACTGTGCCCAGACCCCATCTGAATCAATAGGCATGACCTAAACTCTGAAAATACTATGTAAAAAAAAAAAAAAAAGACTATGTAGCCTTACATTGAATTGTACCCCTCATATGAATTTGAGAATGGGAAAAAAACAAACAAACAAACGTATTATGTATATATTAAACTGAATCACCTTGCTATGCACCAGAAACTAACACAACATTGCATAAATCAACTATAGTTCATGGCAACCCACTCCAGCACTCGTGCCTAGAAAATTCCATGGATGGAGGAGCCAGGTGGGCTACAGTCCATGGGATCACAAAGAGTCAGACATGCCTGAGTGACTTCACTCACTTCAACAAAAATTTTTAACTAAAATAAAATATAAAATTATAAGTTAAGGAAGCTTGAGAAAGTCTAACTTTTCCCATAATATCTACTTTGATGCATTTTTTAAAACATTGAAGATCAAAGTATTTACAGTGTGCTCGTTACCCCTGCTTCACTGGTGGGTCTGTAGTGTTAACCTAGCATGCTGTACCAACCCTGTGGAGGAGTTATGTGGATGGCAGTGAAATTTTGATTTGGTGGTGGCACACCTCTCTCTGCCACACTAGGCAGCTAGACATTAAAAATCAGGTTGACCCCAGCTCACTCCCTCACGCCTATGTCAATTCCTTCATCCTAGTGCTTTGAGGAGTCATTCTCACATGGCAGTTGAAATTAACAACCTGTGACTATCAGTCTCCCCAGCTTTTCCTTCTTGACCATGGTCTTGGCCCCACCCATCCTGGCAGACTCCCTTAGGCTTGGACATGTAGTAACAGATCATTCCCACTCTACTCCAGCTTTTGAAACCTGGTACTTGTTCTCAGCTTACTCCTTGTGGTTGCTCCCTAGTTGCAGGTCCTGGGCTCTCCCAGTCAACCCGGTCTTATCTTTAATTTTCTCCTCTAACCCAGCCAGCTCTCCACGCAGTAGGTTCTTTTGGAACCCACCAAACCAAGGAAATGGACTTTCAAAGGTTGAAGCATTTTTGCAACAAATCAACTCATTCTTCTATCCCACTCCTCCTGATGTGAGGGGACTGGGCCGGGGGGGTGGGGTGGGGGGGCGAGGCAGCAGTAATAGGAGATGAGGCCAGGCTTTGAGAGTTGTGTTAAATCAGTCAGTAGCTGGCCTTCCCACACAATGGACAATGTGTATTCTTCAGGGTGTGGGTGTGAGTGCCAGAAATGTCAAGTCCAGGAGTAAAATATAATCCAAAACCAGAGTGTCTAGCCAGATATTGACAATGAAACTAGAGAAGTAGGTACCAGGCAGCTCAGGCAAGGACTGGAAACCATTTTTATAGTATGTGTGCTGCTAAAGTGAGCACATGCAGCCCATTTTTATTGGAGATCTTTATGATGCCTTGTGGCCATCATAAAGGCACCACCATATGGTTTCTGATATTTTCCAGCAAGGGGGATACTGCACCAAGACCAACAATGATGAAAAGACTACATAACATATAAAATTAGTTCAGGGTTCTTCAAACAGGGCTTATAACCTTACCACTCATAATTGCAGTAAATGTTTTGCAACTTTTCCTGAAAAGAAAAAGCTAGAACTATACATCAAATTATTTGGGTAGCATTAATATCATCAGCTGGAGCCTTTTTTAGTCTGCTTTCCCATGTTTCTCTTATAACTTGGTTTCAGGATCCCATCTTGACAGGAATTCTCCCCTCTATGGCCCAATATTAAAAATTATGCCAAGATCTGGAGCAGGGTAGCTTCCCAAAGCCCCCAGGAGCAAACAGAACTGTGAGCTAAAAAAAAAAAAACAACACACAACCCACCAAGAGCTTTCTTAGTGACCACTAGGAGAACAGAATTCTACTGGATAATTCCTACAAGCATGACAGAACCAGAATGGTCTTAAATCAAAAGGACCCTGGAGGGGGAAAAAGTCCGGGGAAGAATGCCCTTCGTGGCTCACTGGCCACTGGTGGCCTAGTGGTGCTTATGTAAAGGCTCAGCATTAGAACAGACAGAGGCATCTTGAAAAATCTGCTCCTTGCCCACTCTTTACCAAAAAGTGTCAGTTATATTCATATAATTCTAAATATCTGATCTCTTTTTACTTCCCCCACTGCTTCATTCTGCTATCCTATCTTTGGGCATCTCTAAGTTCCTCATTATGCCTTGCAGAGAGGACAACCTCTTCTTCAGAAACACTCCAGAGGTGTTACTGGGAAGTGGCTGCCCGCATCCAGGGACTACATTTCCCAGACCCCTTTGCAGTTAGATGTGGTCACGTGACTAGCATTTTAGCCAATAGAGTGTGAGTAGATGTGTCCTGGCCCCTTCTAGGCAGGGGCCATAAAAATCTCTATGTGCACTTTTTCACACTCTTTTTCCTCCTCCACTGGGAAGTGGAAACAATCCCAGGTGACCTTTAAAACAACATACAGCAGAAGGTGGAGCCTCTCTCAACCTATGTCTCTGAATGAATGTGTGACCTCTACTGTTCCATGACCAAGAAATAAACTTCTATTGTGTTTGAGTCATTATACCTTTTTCAGTCTATTATAGCAATTAGCCTATCTTAACTATTACTATTATCCTCTTTGATACAGCTGTTATCATTGTGTGCAGAAGTCCCTGTGCCTTCTTCCTTTTCCCTGTACCTTACAACAAAATAAAATAATAGATTTAGTCAACTAAATTCAAGTAGCCATTAGGGACAAATGACACTCACCAAATCAATGGTCACAGCGTTCAGATCTTATAGCCAGAAGAAGAGTGGTTTAGCAGAGCCTCACTTCAAGACAACCTGATATATTAAGATAAAACAAAAATTAAAATATAAGATCTACAAAACAGATGTATTAGCGTGCAATGGTTAATCTTCAAAGGGTGTTGTCAGTTTACAAAGGAATCTGACGCTCTTTTCCAGTAAGCGACAAGCTTCTCAATTACATTTATAACATAAGATACATTTTAACATACCCTTACCCCATCATTATAAAACAGAATTTATAAAGAACAATTCTACTTGGCTAAGTAAGCTATACAAAGACTAGATAAAGACTCAGGAGATGACTTTGGATGCTAGGAGAACTGGGTATGATTTCTATGTCTGTGTGCTCTGCAATTCTTACGAACATGTTAAAACTTTTCTCGTGGGAACTTAACTTTCTTGGGTAGAAACTTCCAGAGCTTGTAAAATTATAGGTTACACAAAGACTTAAGCTTGTTTCAGTGAAATTAAAACAGACATCAAAGATACATTATCATCAGTCTCTGTGTTTCATATCATCCCAGATGCAAATGGCACAAGCAGGAATGAAAACAAGCTCTCTGAAAACAGGGAGATGACACAGTGGAGGCGCACCAACTGGAACAACCACAGACAACCTGAAACACGCTGGGTATGGATGGCAGGTTGCGGTCATTTTCTTAGCAGAGCTGCCAACTTTTAGCAGGTTAGGTGCAAAAATACCGCTTGACAGCACAGGGCACATATTTGCCTAGAATGGGGTTTATTTTTGTTTCTGATGACTTGGTATAAGATCCAGGAAACAAACATTTCAGAACTCTGAACAAACATGCTGGCCGTCCAAAACAGAGCACTATCGGGGAAGGACCGAAGGAGAAACAGAACAAGAGGGGTGACGGGGAAAGGCACGATGTGGGCCCTTTCCACCAGAATTTGGCCTTACTCTGTGTGTGTGTGTGTGTGTTTTTGTTTTTGTTTTTTTTTAAGAGGAAATGCATCCTGGTCTGGGCCTGTGGAGAAGAGAAAGATCAGAGAGGTCCCCTCGGTGCCGTGTTTGGAGGGTCTCCCAGATGCAGCCCCCATACCCTCCCCCTGGGCTGGGGCCTGCCAGGTTGCAGGTGTCAGGGAACAAGATGGCGCCCCACAGTGAAGGGCGCGGTGTGAGGGGGTCTGGGGGCAGCCTTCACTTACTCCGAGGCGCTGGCTCCTCTGAAACCCAGACGCTGCCAATTCCCTGGGCTCAGGAGTTCTAACCGCCTTCTTGCTCTGGGTTCTTCACTTCTGGTCGAGATCAGCTCCACATATTTTTCTGATGATGTCACCCATTCTGACTTCCTACATTTTGAAAGTTGATCTATAAGTAAAACCTTCCGTGAGGCTTCAAAACAAAACAAAACAAAACAAAACAAAACAAAAAACCAAAAAAGCAGCAGCATAAAAGAAAAGCAAGGTGTGCTGTAGGGCGATGGAGAGGAGGAGAGAGGCAGTTGCCTCCTTATTTTGAGATTTGCTGCAGCCTGCGAGTGCCACTCCCCAGCCAGTTTCCTGGCTGCAGGGGGAGGCCAGTGGCCGGGCGTGGGTGACGTCAGGGCCAGGCCTGAGTCATCGCCAGCGGCCGGTCTGCCCTGCCACTCGGAGGGGGACAAAAGGAACCTTTGATGTCCAGAGGCCCTCCTCTCGGGACACTCGCCTGTACGAGCAGCAGGCCAGAACATTCCTGCCGCCTCCCCACCCCCGGCCGCCCTTCCTACTTCCGGAACCGTCCCAGGCAGATTCAGCAAGGCCTCCTCAGGGGACATCGCCCTCTTGCATGGCAGAGGCAAGGCCGCTCTCTGCCAAAGAAGAAGCAGGGGAGGGGGTTTCTCTGGGGATTTCTCACTGCACCCTTCGGCATCCCCCGCCTCCCACTTCCCTCTGGTGCCACCGTACCCAGGGAATCGCAGAGGTTCAAAAGGAGTGCGGGAAAGGTGGAAGGTGCCTGCCACCCTCCCTGGACCGCACACAGTGCTCGGTGTCTCTTCTCTGCCTTTGTACCCTGACTCTGCGCCTCTGCACCCCGACCTCTGGGTGCCAGCATGAGTTTGTGCTGCCTGATTCAAGGGGACTCCTCTCTTTAAGAGGGGGATTTATATTCCAGTGCCTGCCACAGGGTGCAGTAAAGGCACGGTGAATACATGAATGATAGTTTTAAAATAAAATAGTAGAGAACATATATTGTGTACTTGTAGTGAATGTTGGCACTTCTGGGGCTAAGTGCTTTTACAAAGATTATTTCATTTATGGTTTTCATGACAAAACTATGAGGCAGGTATTGTTATTATTCCCAGCGCTACAAATGAGGTGCTCAGAGAGATTAAGACACTTCTCTGAAGACTCACAGCTAGTTAGTGGCAGAGTCTAGATTGTCTGATCTCAAACCCTGTGTTCTCAAGCATGATGCTGAATGGCTGAGCAAATGAAGGAATATAGACCAAGAGCAGCCTGTCCAGGTGAGAGGAAATGGGAGTAATAATGGGGCTTGAAACCTAATCCTACAGGGAAATAGTGGAACAATTAGGTCCCATCTGTCTATGGTAGGAGGCCTCGGGCTCTTCTGATGGGTCAACACCACATCTGAGGCTTTGTGGGATACCCAGCATGGCCAGGGTGGTAAGTCCAGTCAGGTCCAAGTGGCAGTGAGGAGCCAGGAGGTTTGGTGGCATGTGGTGACTGCAGGATCTGAGATCACAGTGGACAGAACAGGAGCTGAGTCCTAGAATTGTCTTAATAGCCCTGCTGCCTCATGGGTGTAGGAGGGAGGGTGAGTGCAGCTCAAGGCACGAGCCTGGGGAAGACGTCAGGACAGGGAAGGGCTTTCCCTGGTGGTCCAGTGGCTAAGACCCTGTACTCCCAATGCAGGGGGCCCAGGTTCAATCTCTGGTCAGGGAACTAGATCCTACGTTTCGCAACTTTTGCATGCTGCAACTAAAATCCTGCATGCCACAACTAACACCCAGTGCATCCAAACTAAAAAAAGAGAAGGGAAGACATGAGAGCATTCTCAAAGACCGCAAGACTTGGAGAACGTGTTGGAACTACCATCTGGTTTCAAAGCATCAGGAGGAGATGGGAGTGACAGAAGCCAGAACTGGATCTGACAGTGGCAGTCACAGCCCTGAGCACTGCCCTGCCAGGAATCAGCTACCCTTCTGAGATGGAGTGAGAGTCCCGTTGGGAGCTGTGCTGGGCAAGGGCGAGGAGGGCTGGCAAGAGGAGGACATCCGATGATGGGGCTATCCGGGCCCTGGATAATAATGACCTTGGAGGTCCCTTCTCCCGCTGTGGTTCATAATGCTGTGGTTTGTACTTTTCCGTTATTCCAAGAGGAAGACAAAAGCCAGGACTTTTCAGCCCAGTGGGCAGTGGGCAGGGAGATGCTGGTGGCCTCAGTAAAGCCACTCCAGGGCTCTTCTTTCCACCGTGGGGCAGGGCATTCAGTCACGGGATCCCTCTCCTGGGCTCAGGAAATTGTTGCCTCTGTTCAATGGGGACGTTGTGTCATTACCTTGTTCCTGGAACTGCTGCCAGTTGCCACTCTGAGGAATTACACCTGTGCTGCGGGGTCTGACTCCCCAGGCAGGTGGAATTAGCAGAAGTGAGCTTCAGAAGGGAGAAAGCCACATGCTTTGGATGGAGGGAATAGCAACAATGGACCGGGATCACTGTCAGCGTCTGCACAGAGCCTGACCTTGGGTCGAGGAAAGCGCTGGAAGTTCCAGTCATTTTTTGGCACAGGCTTGCTGATTCTCTTCTTCTCTACAGAAAATGTCTCTGGGCACCTCCCTGTTGTTTCCCCAAAGGCTCAGTGGCCGTGCTTGATTCACATACACGGGTGTTTATGTCTCTAATTAGATGAACAGAGGCTGATTTTTTTTTCAGTCTACCTTGTGGGATCAAGAAAATGTGAAGAGAAAGATAAAGCGAAGACAGAGAAACGATGAGTAGGCACCAAGTGAAATGCCGCTCCTTGCATTGTTTGCTGTGGGGGTTGATTCTAACAGTGAGGATTAAATCAGAGAATTGGGCCAAACATCTATTTGGGGACACAGAGGTGTAAGTACAGTGACACCCCTAACCTCTATCCCATCTGGAGAGCCCTCCTCTTCAGTGCAATAAATGCAGTTATATACTGGGAATTCAAAAACAAAAGCAAAGACTTAGAAGACTTACCTATACTTACTGCCTCCAATTTCTCTCATCTCAATACCTTTTTAAAAACATTTTTTTATGATTATGGTATAATTTTTATGTCAAAAAGCTAACCCACTTACAGTGGATTTTAGTCTATTCACAGAAGTGTGTGATCCATAACCTCATTTTTTAAAAGTATTTATTTATTTACTTAATTTACTTGGCTGTGCTGTGTCTTAGTTGCAGCATCCAAAACTCTTAGTTGTAGCATGTGGGATCTAGTTTCCTTACCAGAGATCAAACCTGGGCCCCCTGCAGTGGAAGCATGGAGTCTTAGCCACTGGACCACCAGGGAAGTCCACATAATCTCATTTGAGAACATTTTTATCATCCCCAAAAGAACACTTGTGCCCAGTAGCAGTCATTCCTCATCTGCCTCAAATCCCAGCACTGGGCAAACACTAACCTTCTGTCTCTATATGTTAGAGACATTTTGTACACATGGAATCATGCAATATGTGACCTTTTGTGTTTGGCATCTTTCATTCAGCATAGTGTTCTTGAGGTTCGCCCATATTGTAGACTATATCAGTACTCCATTCCTTTTCATGCCCAAATAATATTCCATTGTGTGATTATACTATGTTTTGTTTATCCATACATCAGCTTATGAACACATTTTGAGTTGTTACAAATAATGTTGCCAAGAACACCTGAGTACAAGTTTTCATGTGGATATATGTTTTTGTGTCTCTTGGGTGCATACCAAAGAGTAGAATTCTTCTATATCTAAACATAGATAACTCTATGTTTAACATTTTGAGGAACTGTTAGTGTTTCCCAAAGAGCTGTACCATTTAACATTCCCATCAGTGATGTGTGAGAACTCTGCTACTCCAAATCCACACCAAAAATCTTATTGTCTGTCTTTTTGGATTTTAGCCATCCTACTAGGTATGATGTAGTATCTCATTTCGGTTTTGATTTGTATTACCCTAATAACAGAGTTTTCCCAAGGGAACGCACTCATCATAGCAAACACCCTCTTCCAACAATACAAGAGAAGACTCTACACATGGACATCACCAGATGGTCAGTACTGAAATCACATTGATTATATTCTTTGTAGCCAAAGATGGAGAAGCTCTATACAGTCAGCAAAAATAAGACTGGGAGCAGACTGTGGCTCAGATCACGAACTCCTTATTGCCAAATTCAGACTTAAATTGAAGAAAATACGGAAAACCACTAGACCATTCAGGTATGACCTAAATCAAATCCCTTATAATTATACAGTGGAAGTGACAAATAGATTCAAGGGACTAGATCTGATAGACAGAGTTCCTGAAGAACTATGGATGGAGGTTCATGACATTGTACAGGAGGCAGTGATCAAGACCATCCCCAAGAAAAAGGAATGCAAAAAGGCAAAATGGCTGTCTGAGGAGGCCTTACAAATAGCTGAGAAAACTAGAGAAGCTAAAGGTAAAGGAAAAAAGGAAAGATATACCCATTTGAATGTAGAGTTCCAAAGAATAGCAAGGAGGGATAAGAAAGCCTTCCTCAGTGATCAATGCAAAGAAATAGAGGAAAACAATAGAATGGGAAAGACTAGAGATCTCTTCAAGAAAATTAGAGATACCAAGGGAACATTTCATGCAAAATGGGCACAGTAAAGGAAAAAAATGGTATGGACCTAACAGAAGCAGAAGATATTAAGAAGAGGTGGCAAGAATACACAGAAGAATTATACCAAAAAAGATCTTCGTGTCCCAGATAACCATGATAGTGTGATCAATCACCTAGAGCCAGACATCCTGGAATGTGAGGTCAAGTGGGCCTTAGGAAGCATCACTACAAACAAAGCTAGTGGAGATGATGGAATTCCAGTGAGCTATTTCAAATCCTAAAAGATGATGCTGTGAAAGTGTTGCATTCAATATGCCAGCAAATTTGGAAAACCCAGCAGTGGCCACAGGACAGGAAAAGGTCACTTTTCATTCCAATCCCAATGAAAGGCAAGGCCAAAGTATATTCAAACTACTGCACAACTGCACTCATTTCACATGAGAGCAAAGTAATGCTCAAAATTCTCCAAGCCAGTCTTCAACAGTATGTGAACTGTGAACTTCCAGATGTTCAAGTTGGATTTAGAAAAGGCAGAGGAACCAGAGATCAAATTACCAACATCTGTTGGATCATCAAAAAAGCAAGGGAGTTCCAGAAAAACATCTACTTCTTCTTTATTGATTACACCAAAGCCTTTGACTGTGTGGATCACAACAAAGTGTGCAAAATTCTTAACGAGATGAGAATACCAGACTACCTTACCTGCCTCCTGAGAAATCTGTGTGTAGGTCAAGAAGCAACAGTTAGAACAGGACATGGAACAACAGGCTGGTTCCAAATTGGGAAAGGAGTACGTCAAAGCTGTATATTGTCACCCTGCTTACTTAACTTACATGCAGAGTACATCATGCGAAATGCTAGGCTGGATGAAGCACAAACTGGAATCAAGATTGATGGGAGAAATACCAACAACCTC